CCCTGTGTCCACATGCAAAGACCAGGGGAGGGGCTGGGATCACACTGACTGGGGAGAGGTTGGGGGGGGAACACATGGGGACACAGGGAGATGTGGGTGTGGGGCACTGTGCCCTGATAGGGTCTCAGCCTGAAGCGTCAGCATTTCAGACCAGGGAGCCCCCAGGTAGGCTGAGGTGCAAGCAGAGGGGGCTCCACACAGGAGACAGAGAACCCCAAGGGGCACAGAGGCTGCAAGGCAGGGGCCTTCCCTGAGGACCTCCCCGCTGTCTGTAGAAGCTCAGTCCCAGGGACCTCGAGAACTTGCTGGTGAGAACCTTCTAGAACTTCAGAGCATTGAGGCCCACATGGCTGTACAAGCCAACCGAGATGTCAGTGGTGGGTCTGGGGGCTCCAGTAGGGACCTCAGACATACCCAGCAGGCTAGACCTTCTCACACCACCCGAGTGACACCTTGATCACTCAGAGAGTCTGGGTACAAAGTGTGGGTGTGAAGGGCCCAGGGAGGTGCTGCTGAGCTGGGGCAGCTGAGAACAGGCTCTGTGTGCCTGTTGCAGAGCACCATGCCAGACTCTGCCTGGAGTTGGCACCCCGAGCCCCCTGTGATGTTTCCCACAGCCCCTCCCAGCTCTGGAGCAGAGCGGGCCCCTCAGCCAGCGGGAGCAGCCCACCCACACCTGCATTGTCTCTGCTGCTGCTCGTGCCTTAGCTACGCCTCTCAGATCTCCGAGGAACCGGCACACAGGCCTCCTCATTAGCGGCTAATTGCAGCGTGTGCTGGGCCGCACAGGGACCCTGCCGGGATTACACCTGTTGACAAGCTGTGATGGTCCCTGAGGACATGGGCCTGTGTGGATTACCCACTAATGGTGAGGGAGCAGTTCCCTCCAACAAATAAAACCGTGAGCCAGCGGCTCGGCGGCTCAGGGAAGTTGGGCTCTGGTGAGGAACTCAGCCGGGCACCAGGGCAGGCACTGGACCTGGCACACAGCCCCCACCGCCAAAGTGTGGTCTTTCTCCTGGACCCTGTAGAAAAGGACCTATAGCCATGCTGACCTGGCCCATAGCACAACCACCCCAATGAGCCCACCAATGTGGGTTGAAGACTTCCCATCATCAGAGCAACCACACCCCAGAGAACACGGGTCAGAAACAACCCCGAGTCCCCTGAGTGGCTAGGGAGAATCTTCTGGGGGCTGATATGGAGACTGTGGCCTCCACCCCACACCTAACCAGATGGGAGGAGCCCAGGGTGGCTGTGTCCGGCGTCTCCTAAGCCTACAGCCCCTAATTTACAAGGGGTCTGGGAACAGGTGTAGGCCGCAAACCTGTATTCCAGGGAATAAAACATTGGCATGTTGTGGAAAAGTCAGCACTGGCCCCTGGCTGTGCTCATAATGACGCTATCCTCTGGGAGAGGCAACTCTGTAGGTGCCTATCCCTGCCTACCTGTCTCACGAGTAGGAGAGGCCCCCACAGCTTCAGCCTTCTCCCCACGCCTCCTGTCTGCCCACGGCTCCCGGGTCCCAAACACTCAATCCTGGGGTACTAAGGGATACAAGTGGGGAGCTCCAGGGACCCTGCCAACCACCTGTGTGCTCAGGGTCACCAACAGCCGGACTGGGCCTGCATACAGGCAGCCAGAGAGGTGGGGGACTAGGGCCAAGGACTCCATAGCCCCTCTCCGAGTCATCACAGAAGCATCTGAGGGTGCAGCACATGTTCTGCACCCTAACTGTTGGTGTCTTCTGCGGAGTGATGTCTGCCTCGTGGTAGCCCCATACGTGCTTAGCAGAACTACTTCAGTCTTCAAAGCTGTGGCTGTCTTCCCTGGAGCCTCTGGGCAAATCCAAACCACCAAGCTGACAGCTAGTAATCGAGTATGAGTATTTAACTGCTTACACACCCAGGGACCGTTTAGGATTAGGAAGCATCACATTTTGATTGATGTCTTCTTTTTTGTTTCTCTCCTCCAGCCCTGTGACTATCTCCCCCAAGCTGCCCCTGGTCCAGCAGTTTATCTTTCCAAAAGTCCCACAGCCCCAGCCCAGCCCCATCGTGCAAAGTAGCCTGCTCCTGACCCTTGGATCACCCTGAGCTGTGTCCCCTGCCCCAGTCCCAGTAGCCACCACCTCTCTCCCACTTGTCCCTTAATGCCAGCTCAGGCCTCCCCACCAATACACACACATTTAGGAGATGAGATTTGTCTTGGTATTCAGTTACCTGTCCTCTAGCCCTGAAGTCCCACAAGGACGTGGACATGAGGCTTATCCTGGTGTGAACGTTGCCCCTATAAAGATACGTCCTCCTGGAGCCCACAGATGTGGCCTTATTTGGGGAAATGGTCTTGCATATGTGACTGAGTGAAGGCCTGGCCCAATGTCCAGCAACAAGTGTCCTTAGAAGAGAGAAGAGAAGAGAAGGCGGAAGACATGGAAAGAGGGCGAGACACCAGGAAAGATGCCCCACGACCACAGCGGCAGAGACTGGAGTGCTTGCTGCAGCCACAAATTTAGGAGTGCCTGAGGCCACCATGAGTGGTAACAGACAAGGAAAGACCCTCCCCTAGGAAGCATGGCCCTACCGACCCCCTGAGACTGCAAGCCTCTTCTTTCTGTGGGCTTTCATTCCAGCGGCCAGTGTGCACAGGGCCGTTGGTCCTGGAAGGGACCTTGGTGGTTTCACAAGCCTCCAAGGAAATGGTGCCATCAAAGAGGAGGTGGACAGCCAGGCGAGTCCCACGGGCACATCCAGAGTTGAGGCCATTCAGGCCCTCGGGATGTATGGGGCCTCCCCCGCCACCATGTCCTCGGCTGGCCCCACGTCCTCCCAGGTGTGGCAGCCATCTTCTCAGGGTCCGGCTGGGACCATGCGCATGGGACCATGCGCATGGGAAGCGGGCGGTAAATACTCACTAATGATGATGATGAAACAATTTGCAAAATATGAATGCAAAGACCAGAGGCGTCATGGTTGGCACAAGAGCCTCCGGGTCCACGGGGAAACGCTGTGAGTAATGAGAGAGCCCAGCTCCGCCCAGACTCGGGGAGGCGCCTTGGCAGCAGTCTTTGGAGCAGGTCCAGGCTGAGTGACCACGGAAGAGCTCGTGAGTGTGTGTGATCAGAGCTTCTGAACCAAACGCCAACCGACACAGTTTGGATTGAATTGTGTTGTAAATCCTAACCCCAATAGCATAGTGGCGCTGTGAGTTAATGCCCCGGACTGCAAGGTTGTTCAAACTGCAAGGTCGGCAGTTCAAGCTCACCAGCTGCTCCTCAGAAACCCTATACAGGGTCACTATGGGTCAAGACTGACTTGATGGCACCACACAACAGCAGCATAGCATAGTGGTTGTGAGTCGGCCTGCTAATCTCAAGGTCAGCAGTTCAAAACTACCAGCAGTTCCGCAAGAGAAAGATGAGGTTTTCTGCTCCCATAAAGATTTACAACCTTGGAAACCCTGTACATGCTCACTATGGGTCGGAACTGAGTCCGTAGCACATAACCACCACCATAGTAATTATGGGAGTCCTGGTGTGGGGCTGAGGGTTAATGCACTGAACTGCAAGATCAGTGGTTCAAGTTCAAGAGCAGCTCCTACGAGACCCTATACAAGGTCACTGTGGCTCTTACCAACAACATGAATCAGAAGGCATCTACTCAAAGGCAGAGTGTGGGGGTTCGAACCCCATTTAGGAATGGGTTTTCGTTATGTTAATGGGTCAGTGATGGTTGCTAAGTTCTGTTGAGTTAGTTCTGACTCATAGCGAGTCTGTATAGGGTCTCCCAGGCTTCACATCCTCTTTCTTCTTAGGAGCAGCTGGTGGGCTTACACCTGGACCTTGTGGTTCTCAGTATGAAGCCACCGTGTTCCCGGGGCAGTGATAGTGTGCCCTAAATCTGTTTCTTTCGAGATGTAAAAAAACAGAGCAGACAGTGATGGGGGAAGGCAGATACCATGCCCCATGAAGACGGTGGAAGAGTGAGGACCTTCTTCCCAGGGAACGGAGCCTTGTGTGCAGGCGAAGTCCTTAGTTCTGATCTCTAGCCTCTCAAGCAGGGTCTGAGTGTGGCACTATGGAGTCAGTGGTTCGCTCTTCGGAAACCCTATGATTCAGAATCGACTTGAACACACTTAACAGCAAGTATGAGAAAATAAATTCTGTTTATGAAACTCATTCACTTACAGCAGCAATAGAGAATGAAGGTATTCAACGACTCTTACAAGGACTGAGACTGCTGGGGCTGGACCCAGACTCAACCCCTGGTTTTCCTGGAGACTTCCGGAAACAAATAGGTCCTTCAGTGCATACATTGTATGTGGCAAGCATAAAATGGCTCTATTTCAGGTCATAAACCTGCATAGGGAAATGGAATCTGCGCAAACTGCTCCTCAAAATGACGCAAAGGGGCTCCCCAGGGCCAGCCAGGGCTCCTCCAAGGACCCCGCAGCCCTGCAATGAGCCACCAGGAACGGAAGGAATCGCCTCGTCCCCCCACACCCACCCCAATTGTCTACGAATTCTTTTCTTTTGCTTCAGCGTGTGTCACACCTGAACTGTTCATTCAACACCAACTGAGCGTCCAGTGTGTGTTAGGATCTTCTGGGTTCAGCACAGGTGTGCAAAACGAAGCATCTAGACTGTGCAAACGCCCCAGGTGAGGCACCTGGGGGCCCACACCTGGCCAACAAGTAAACACTTCAGCAATAAATGAACTAAATCAGATACCCTCTGTCTGTTTCTGAAGATACTCTGCCTCCGTTCCGCCCCATGGGAGGCGGGAAACTCGCAGAGGGGTGTTTGGTCCCCCCAGTGGCCCGAGAACAGGTCGAAAGCGCCATGTTTGGGCCTGCCAGCAGAGGGTGCTCACTCCTCCAGGCGTCGTCCGCGGGGCGAAGTACGCATGCGCCTTGCGGGGCGCTTTCCGGCAGCCTGGCAAAACACAGAACATCTTTTGCGCCGTTTAGCGACACCTGCGCGCGGCGGCAGTGTGGCCGTCATGGCGTCGCCCTTCAGCCGGGCGCTGCAGTTGACGGATTTAGATGATTTCATCGGGCCGTCGCAGGTGGGCCGCCCGGAGGGAAGGTGGTCCACCGTGTGCAGGGAGCGGACCGCGACGAGCCGGTCTGCTAGGAACCTGGGAGGCCAGTCTCGTCCGACTTCCGGGAGGCGGGAACTTCTTCCTCTGCCCTCCCGCCTCAGTTTCCGCCCCTGAAACAGGATTTGACCCCGGGGATCCAAGACCCCAGGGACCTGGGCTCACCCCCACAAGGGACCCCAGGGACCCTGACGTGGGCCCTAGTGGGCACAGGGAGGAGCTAGTTCTTACATTGCCTTCCAGACCCCCCGGCTAGGAGGCGCCCCTTCCCCGCTTGCGGTGGGTGAACTGACTATTGTAGGGTGTCCGGTGGCTGGCCCGCACAGCCATGCAGCTGGGGAGTGGCGGGGAAAGATCGGAGCCAGCAATCAACCCTCCTGTCGGAGGACGTCAGTGTGTGGTGTGGGGGAGAAACACATCAGGAGGCACCCGTTTTGCCAGGGCAGGTCATCCGCATGAGAGTGTGGCGGGCACCAGAAGGCTGACCTCTCTGGACACTGGGCAGGGAGGTGGCATGCAAATGAGGGCGCCCCAGTCAGGCTGCCAGCACCAGCCTTAGGCCCCTCCCTCTGGCCACACCTACTGCCGACCCCCGATCCCAAGGGTGAGGGCCAGGGGGAGAGGCTGCGGGCGGAGCTAGCCATGGTGCTGGTTGGGGACTCACAGACTGACCTTTGGTGCCTGCGGGCCAGTAGGAAAGGGGCCAGTGTGAGCCTGAAAGGAACCCTGGTGGCACAGTGGCTTAGACGATGGACTGATAACTGAAAGATCGGCAGTTCGAACCCACCAGCGGCTCTATGGGAGAAAGACGAAGCCTTCTGCTTCTGTAAAGATTTACAGCCTCGGACTCCATATGGGGTCGCTGTAAATCAGAATTAACATGATGGCCATGGGCTTTAGGATCTTGGTTTGGGGGGCTATAAAGCACAGGACTGTCCTGGAAGACCTTGGGCAGCCAGCCTCCAGGGGCCTTCATCTGCTCAGGTCTGGCATGGGGTCTCTTCCTGGCTCAGGACTGCACCAAGCCTGTGAAGGTAGACAGGAGGCCAGGGAGCGGTACGGCCAAGATCCACATTGAGGACGATGGGAGCTACTTCCAAGTGAGCCAAGTAAGACATCTGCGCACGCTCCCACTTGTGCCTCACCAAGGCGATGTGCGGAGTCTCCCCGGGTGACAGGAGGGGCTCTCTCCTCTGCAGAGACGGCAGTTCCTCCTCCCCCCGCTGTGTCTTGGAGGTTAGTCCCTGATCAAGAACTGGGTGCACTCTGTTCTCTGCAGGATGGGGGCGCACGGAAGCTGGAGAAAGCCAAGATCTCCCTCAAGGACTGCCTGGCATGCAGTGGCTGCGTGACCTCAGCAGAAAGTGTGCTCATCACCCAGCAGAGCCACGAAGAGCTCCGGAAGGTTCTCAACGCCAACAAGGTGAGCAGTGAGTGGGTTCTGTGACTCACTTGTCAGACGTGGGGTGCGTAGGCATCCTCTTAGCAAGCTCCCTACCAGCGTTCTTCACCGCTGAGGGAGTCTTACCAGCCATCCATGTCCCGGAGCCAACCACACCTTGCTGTGTTAACACCAAAGATCAAAAGTGCCTCTCCTGTCAAGGGAGGATGGGTAACTGCCCCCAAGGTGGGTCCTCTCAGTGGGACAGCCTTCAGCCACAAAGAGAAGTGAAAAGGGAGGACGGGTAACCGACCCAGTGGTGCGTTCCACAAGGAGAATGACCATCACTGGACACCAAAGGACAAATACAAGGTGGCTTCAGAAAATTTCTGGCAAATTTCTATTGTCTTTTCTTTCAAGCCCCTCGTGTTATTTAGGGACCCTGGTGAGGCGCTGTAGGGTAATTACTGAGCAGTTAACCATGAGGTCAGTAGTTCAAACCTAGCAGTCGTTCCTCAGAAACCCTATGCAGCGTCACTATGAGTCAGAACTGACCCGATGGCACTTAACAACATAACAATGTATCAATATCTACAACAGACAAACACATAGAGACCCATGTTTATTAGTGGTTACCAGGGGTGGGGGGAGGGGTGTGCCACAATGAAGAAGAGACTGTGCCCACATGTCTGAGTCAAACCAGAAGGACGGGCGGGCACTACGCGGTGCATGTGATTTAGGCCACTGAACTCTACACGTGAAAGCGGTAACAGTGGCAAGTGTGTCGTCATGGGCATGTTTTTTTTGCCGTAATTAAAAAGACCGTACCCACAGGTCTCAGTCCAACCACAAGAGCAATGGTTTGAGCCTGCCGAGGGTCTGTAGGGGAGCCAGGAGGGTCCCTCTGCTCTGTCCTGCGGGGTGGCTGAGTCGGACCCCCTCACTCCCCAGGCAGCTCCTCCTGAGCAGCAGAGGTTGGTGGTTGTATCAGTGTCTCCGCAGTCCACGGCTTCGTTAGCAGCGAGATTTCAGCTGAGCCCCACAGACACTGCCAAGAAGCTCACCTCGTTCTTTAAACAGATAGGTGGGTTCGCGCCACTGATCCTGGGGGTGGAGGGGTGGCAGGGCCTCTGGCCACCAGGTCTTCACTTGTTTATGAACTTGGCTGTTTGGAAACACTTCGTTCCAACTCGAAGCTCTGACTCAAGTGACAGCACTATGTGAGGGACAGCGGCGAGTGGACGCCACGTGTAGACCACTGTCTGGGGGGACGTCAAGTGGACATCCCGTGTAGACGGATGTCTTGGGGGGACGTCAAATGGATGCCCCATGTAGACAGATGTCTGGGGGGATGTCGAGTGGATGCCCCGTGTAGACAGATGTCTGGGGGGACATCGGGTGGTTGCCCCATGTAGACGGATGTCTGGGGGGACATCGGGTGGTTGCCCCGTGTAGACGGATGTCTGGGGGAAGTCGTGTGGACGCCCTGTATAGACGGATGTCATGTAGATGGGTGTCTGGACTCTGTACGGCATGTCGTGGGTTCCCTGAAGCACCATGACCAGTGTCCACAGCCAGCATGCCCATGTGACTACCTGTCACAGACACACCGAGGGTCCCTCTGGGTTGAGGCACTGGTGCCGTGACTCCTTGGCTGAGCTGGCTGCCGCTTTCCAGGGGTGCACTACGTGTTCGACACTGCCTTCTCACGGAATTTCAGCCTCCTTGAGAGCCAGCGTGAGTTCGTGCAACGCTTCCGGAAGCAGGCTAACTCGGGGCAGGCCCTGCCCGTGCTGGCCTCTGCCTGTCCAGGTGAGTGCACACAGGCCCCGTGTAGCTAGACTATTGGTGGTTTGCACCTCACAGAAACAGACCCACCTTCCACAGCGGTGCAGCAGGCTAGCAGGTGGTGGGAAACTGCCGGAAGTCTGTGTTTGATAAGGTGCCAACAGCTCCAGACAGGCAATGACAGGAAACCTGTGACAAGAATGGGCTTCGAGTGCTAGCCTGGAGCGCCCTGTGAGGGAGGAGAGTCTTTTCACATCCTTGGGGTGGGGCTCAGGTGATCCAGAAGGTCACCACTGCGCGTGAGAAAGGTGTGGCGGTTTGCTCTCAGAAACCCTAGGAGGTGGGTCTCCTTTGTTCCAGAGGCTTGTTAGGAATCAGAATTCCAACTTGGTGCCTTGGTTTTAGGTTTTCTTAAGCCTTTAAGGAAACTGACGGTCTTTGAGTTAAACAGACCAGCTCTTCAGTGGTAAAAAAGAAGAGGCTTCCGTAAAGATGACCGCCTCAGAGACTCTGGGGCAGTTCTCTGCCCTGTAGGGTCTCTGAATTGAAATTGACTGGGTTTACCCTGGTGAGTGGCTAGACACACCTGCAGATGATGAGAGCTCCAGCATCCCTCCCTGAGTCCACCCCGTACGTGTGGGCACTTCCTTACTGCACCCCCTCTGCTCCTGGTGACCAGGCTGGGTCTGCTACGCGGAGAAGACCCATGGCAGTGTCCTCCTCCCGCATCTCAGCACCGCACGGTCCCCACAGCAGGTCATGGGCGTTCTGGTCAAGGACTTCTTTGCCCAGCAGCAGGTGACAGAGCTGGGCATGCCACTGTGAGGCTGTGGGGAAGGGGCTGCCCAGAGCCACAGATCCTCAGCAGTAGTGTATAGTTCAGTGGCAGAGAGCCTTCCAGAACGTTCTGCCTCCACCCCTCCATTCCTCAATACCTAGTCCTATGCTGCCTGGTGACGTCTTTTCTATGCTGCCCGGTGACGTCTTTCCTATGCCCACCACCTGGGGCTCCTGTCCCACCTCGGCGGCAGCAGGCCAAGCCCATGGTTCAGGGGGTGGGTGCCCAGCACAAGTGGAGGAGGTGGTCGGGGCTGCTGGGTGTGGTGTGGGGTGGGTCAGCCCCAGAACCACGCCTGAGTGCGTGTTGCTCCATCTCCACACAGCACCGGAGCCCTGACCAGCTATACCATGTGGCAGTGATGCCCTGCTATGACAAGAAGCTCGAGGCAGCCAGACCCGACTTCTTCAACCAGGAGTTCCAGACACGTGACGTGGACTGTGTTCTCACCACGGGTACTGGCATGAGTGCCACTCAGACACACTCAGGGGTGGCAGCTGAGGAAGATGGCCATTCGATTTCAGTTCATAGTTCTCCATCCCACGTGACGCTCTCTCTCCAGGAAAATCTTTCTCCCAATTAGCTAGTGGGTGGATCTAACTGTCCCCTTTCAGTTAGCCCTGAGTGTCTCACCATGGCCCACAGAGAGCCCCCTTTTCTCCCGCAAAAAGCTTCAACAACTGAGAAGTGGCCGGCCCAGGGAGGCAGACTGACCGCTTGCAGGGGCCCCTCCCAAGGAGACAGGCAAGGAAGGGCTGGACTGCACATCCAGGCGGGGTAGTTCTTGCCTCCTGGCCAGCGTCTGCCCACCAGCTCCAGGGGCATGTGCAGCTATGGAGGACAGACAGCAGATGTGGGGTGGGTGAGTTTAGACTTTCATGCTGCCTGCACCCCTGGGAGCCCATCAAAATGTGTGGTCTATCCTAGGGGAGGTGTCCACGCTGCTGGATGAGGAAGGGGTCGTGTTCCCAGACCTGGAGTCCACCCCACTGGATGCACTGTGAGTGGGAACATTTAGACCCGGCCTGTGAGGGCCAGCTCCACAGCCTGTATGTGTCCATGCATGGACATTCCTGAGGTCACTAAGCATGGCGGTTGGAACCAAGGACGGTGCTGTCCCCCAGGCCTCACTCCCCACATGGCTGAAAAAGCAGATGGTGTCTACACCATGTGTCCACACTGCCCATGTGTGCTCCCAACTCCACGTTAGACTCTCACCCTGGTGTGAGTGGTCAGAGTGGTCAGAGCCAACAGCCTGTGTGGAATTTGTCTGAGGTGCCTCATATCCTCTCACTGGGCATGAGGCGGGCAGGAGCCTAAAGGCGGGTCCCCAGGGAATGTACACTTTGGGGCCCAACTGTGCAGCTTGAGTCCCCAGTGGGAGCCCACATGCTCCAGTCCAGCCTCCTCCGTCCACTCTGAAACCCTGCCCAGCTCCCTCTCTGGTCCAGCCTCCCCACTCCAGTGCAGCTTGTATGTGAAGGCCCTCCTCTGGAGGTACCATTTTCAGACCTGAGAGTGGAAGTAACCCCCACCCCACAACACTGATGAAATGCAAGTGGGCCGGAGCCCCCCCATGCCATACTGACCACCACCCCCTTGGCCAGGTCCAGCTGTGCATCCACTGAGGAGCCCATCAGCCATTGGGGTGGGGGCTCAGGGGGCTACCTGGAACATGTATTCCGACACGCAGCCCGGGAACTCTTTGGGATCCACGTGGCTGAGGTCACCTACAAACCCCTGAGGTCAGTGGGGCTGCCGGGAGTTGGGGTGGGGCAGGTGGGTGCTGGCTCTGAGGGGACCCTCCTCTGCCAGCCCTGAGACTCAGTCTCCCCATCGTGGGGCCTCATCCCTGTCCTTGTGGGCAGTTCACCCGAGGGTGCCAGGCTGTGGACCACCTTGTCACCGCCCCCACCCCCAAGGGGAGGATGAGGGGAGCAGCCGTGCCCAGCCAGTGCCCTCCAAGGCCCCGCCCCCACTCTGCAGAAACAAGGACTTCCAGGAGGTCACACTCGAGAGGGACAGCCAGGTCTTGCTGCGCTTCGCCGCCACCTACGGCTTCCGCAACATCCAGAACGTGGTGCAGAAGATCCGGCGTGGACGGTGCCCGTACCACTACGTGGAGGTTATGGCCTGCCCCTCCGGCTGCCTGAATGGCGGGGGCCAGCTCAGAGCCCCAGATGGACACGGCAGGGAGCTGCTGCAGCAGGTGGAAAGATTATACAGAACGGTGAGGACGCAGGCGCCCGAGGACGTGCCAGGGGTCCTCGAGCTGTATGAATACTGGCTTCAGGGTCTGGGCTCAGACAGAGCTGCACGTCTGCTACACACACAGTACCACGCTGTGGAGAAGACCAGCTCCAGCTTCAACATCAAGTGGTAGACAGTCAGCCACTCAAGCCCGGGAGCAGTAGGGACTCCAGCCTCAGAACCTACCGCTGGCGAGCTCTACCCTGGGCCCACCGCAAAGTTCCGGAAACTTCCACAGGCAGTGATCCTGCCCCCTCACTCCTCACTGGTATAAAGGGGGTGTTTACAGTGCCTTGTGGTGTTCCCTGAGAAGATCCACCCCCATGCCATGCCCAGCACTTGAGACATGTGCCTAGCAGCCTCAGGCCATCAGCAGGCCCGGTATCCAGGCTCCGGTGCCCTATCCAGCTGGGCTTGGGAGGATGCCAGGCTGGCTCTGCCCACACCAGGCCCCCTTCCAATAAAGGAGTAAAGCGTTGCTAAGATGTGGCCTCTGCCGAGTATATCCGCTGGAGCAGAGGCCCAGCCGGCTCCGGGACCACATGCACCCCACAGCAGATCCTTGTACACACCAAGGAGACCCTCACTCAAGCAGTCTGTGCTGGCCTGGGGGATGGGCAGTGGCCGGGCAGGCCCCATGGGGGCTCCAGTGCCCCCACATCGCCCTGTCGGCCCACTGTCAGTGTGAAGAGGAGAGATGAGGCACAGTCCCTAGCTCCACCCTGAGCTCACTTCTGTTGGGGGTGCCCAGAAGGTCCCACTGAAGCCCCTGGAAAGCCTGCGATTCAGGCTGCCCTGAAGCCCCACCCCTGCAGAGCATCTGCAGGCCCCAAACAGGGATGTCTTCTCGGTGGGGAGGAGACCTGAGGTATAGTCCAGACACCCTCCCTGGTGTGCAGACGAGACTCGGAAGGGGACCTCCTTGTCTGGGGGACAGCCTCATGACCCAGCTCAGAGCCAGGGCATCAGAGTGGCCCTGCCACCATCAGTCCTTCACGTAGCTCCCTACACCCAGGAGACCCCGGATCCCCGCTCCAATACAGACTTCCAGCAAGGCAGTGCTGCCCTAGGTACCTGCATGTCTACCTACAGAGGTGACCTGCAGCCTGGCCACCAGGGACAGACTGGTTCTCGTGGTCACTGAGGAGCCCCAGGCTGCTTAGTGTATGCGCACGGTTAGGTGCCTCTTCCAGGAAGCCCTCCTGGCACCTACACTGAGCCAGCCATCCCAAATGGGACATTATCTCCCTTCTCTCCAGCTGGGGGGTCTCCCGTTTGTTCCCCACTGTCCCAGTACTCAGTCAACCAGACAAGGAAGTACACAGAAGGTGCCTAATGAGTGTGTGTGAGACAACAGGACAGGGCGGCCACCCCCAGGCTGAGCACCAGAAAGGCCAGGATATGCGGACACAGGAGGGATGGACCGTCCTCCCCTAGCCCTTCCCTGTACTTGGAGGAGGGGCCTGAGTCTCCTAGCACTCACAGATAACACCAGCCAATGTATCTTAGCAACAGCTGGGACAGACTCTCCCAACTTCCTCTAGCCATGGAGCCAGGGGTGGCCATAGGCGCTAGGCCAGGACCCCCACCTTGGGCCACTGGGAATGTGAGTCTGCAGGGCACTGCTGTCCTGACCCTGGAACTGGAGAGGGGCAGGTCTCATTCCTGGACTGATCCTGGCCAGGGCAAGACGGCCCCAGGTGGGCGGAGTAGACACAGGCCAGGGGCTTTATGGGGGAGGGAGCTTCAGGCTGGCTGGACCCACCTTCTCTAGGTTCTGCCTCAGGCTGAGGACTGGCGGTCAGGGCCCCCCAATGATACCCCAGCCTGGACCAGCAGCCTTGAACTGGAGCTGAGTGAGACACAGGAGCTACAGGTGGGAGTGGGAAGCAGGAAAGGGTGTCCCCCGGCAGGATCCCTCGGCCTCCCTCTCACCCCACTGGCCACCCCTAGATCTCCAAGGAGCTGGTCGACCTGCGGCTTGACACGTATCATCTGCAGGAGCAACATGAGGCTGAGATCTTCCAGCTGAAGACTGAGGTGGGCACCTGCCCCGGAGTGCTGGCTGACGGGAGGAGAGGGTCCAGCAGTGCAGTACAGCCCGCACGCTCGTATCCAGGGAAACGTTTGCTGGCTCCAGTGGGCCTCTTGCATTTGCTCACCTCGTGGCTCCGCAGGTCCTGCGTCTGGAGAGCCGTGTGCTGGAGCTGGAACTGCATGTGGGGCAGACAAGTCGGGGGCAGCAGCAGGCACTAGTGCAGAGTCAGCCCAACGGCTGCAGATGCCAGGTGACCACCAGGACAAGCAGGACCTGCATGGGTGGACTGGGGAACCTGCCCACCCAGGCCTCACACCTCCCTCCTGGACAGACACAGCTCGAGGACTTGGTGCCCCAGAAGCCAGAGGATTCTGTGAGTGTTCGCCCCCACCCCCCACCCGCGAGTGCATCCCAGGTGTCCCATGATCCTGAGGGTCAGCGGGCAACAGGCAGGGAGCTGGAGTTTCAGTCCTGTACCCCTATGTGCCCACAGCAGCGAGGAGAGGCAGAGAGGGCACTGGAGACACAGGTGTGAGTGACCACCTCACTGGGCACGGGGGGCCGGGGGGGGTGACTGCAGCTGTTCCCAAGGACCTGACCTCAACCCATGTCTGCAGGACGGCCCTGGGCCAGCAGCTACAGGGAGCCCGCAAGGAAGCCAGGGCAGCTGAGCAGCAAGTGGCCACACAAGCCCAGGTGAGCCCAGGTAGCGAGTGTCCTTCAGTCACCACTGCCCCACTGGACAAGGCTTCAGGGCCACTTCCATCCCCAGGTGCTAGCTGCCTGCCAGAGCCAGCTCCGCCACGCCGAGACGGAGAACAGCAGGCTGGAGACGCAGCTCAAGAAACTGAACGAGGAGTGCGCAGTCCGTCTGCAGCGCTGTGCCCAGGACGTGGTGGTAAGCACTGGTACCGTGGTCTCTGGTCCCGGGGGAGGTGGCCTGGCCCAGGCACACTGCTCAGCTTCAAGGGACCCCATGATCCCTAGTGGCAGCCCAGCTGTCCCCCCAGAACTATGCAGACAGTACAGGCCAGGGGCCAGCTGCCAGGTCACTGCGGGCATTCCTGGAGGCCACCCTGGAGGATATCCGGGCCACACACAGAAGCCGAGAGCAGCAGCTGGCCCGGGCCGCTCAGACCTACCGCAAGCGCCTGGCAAACCTGAGCCGTCGGCATGAAGAGCTGCTGGCCATCCACAGGTGGTCCCCACCACACCAGGTGAGGAGGTCCCTGAGGTAGAGTGGGCCCTTGTGACCTGAGATGTGGGTTAGTGACCCCACTATGGCCCCCAGACCCCAACCACCCAGGACCTCGGAGCTCAGCACCTGCGAGGGGACAAGGTGAGGCTGGGGACACTCCAGCCAATGCAGCCCCCGGTGACCTTCCCTGCTGACTCCTCATTGGTCTTAGGGTACAAGCCCCAGGGCCTCAGCCCTGCCCTACCCAAGCCCAGGGCACCTGAGCAGCCTGGGAAAGAGCCCCACCCCCCTTTACAACACTCAGCTGGGGATGCTGTTCGTGTTCCCACAGAAGGGGCCCAGAGGAGCCTCCCCCAAGGGAACATCAGAGCCACAGTGAGTGCCTTCCGGGGTAATGGGGGCTGGGGAAGTGAGGTGACCTCATGTGGGTACTAGGAACAGACAGCTGACTTCCCCTGGGCATTGGGGAGAGCCCACCCCGGAAAGGGCATCTCAGTTGAAACCCAAGCATGGACACAGGGAGTGGTGTGAGGGGACAGGCTGCTGGGGGCTCTGGCCAGCCTGGCCAATGGGCCGCAGTGCTCCCAACTAATAACAAGGGCAAAGGCTCTGTAGACCCACCTCCCAGGGTTTGGGGAGCAGGCACCCCTGCAGACACTGGGGCACTGTCCAACCTTACCACGTAGCCCTCCATAACCACGCAGTAAGGGACTCTGACGGCACAGTGGGTTAAGTTGGTGGGCTGCTAACTGTAAAGTCAGAGGTTCAAACCCACCAGCTGCTCCAAGGGAGAAACGATGACAGCCAGATACCGTATGGGGCAGAAGTGACGCGATGGTCGTGGGTTAACCCTTTCTGAACATGCTCCTAGGCAGCACCGCCTCCCAGCTCAGTAAGGCCCACCTAGACATGGGGGTCAGCACCTGTATTCACCTTCCCCCTCACAGGGGCCTGAACTCCACATCCTGGGCCAAGATGCGCCAGGAGCTCCAGGACTTCTCCCGAGGCACCCAGGTAGTGGGCAAGTGCTGAGTGGGAGGGGGGCTTCACTGTACCCCGGGCTCACAGCCCCTCCCAAACACCAGGCCAAGCTGGAACATGAGCGGGCGCAGCTGCTGGTGCGGGCCACGGAGGCTGAGGCACACCTCTCGGAACTCCGGGAGTACGTGGGTCAGCACCTGAGCAGGTATGCTGACCACAGAGCCTTGAGGTGGATGGGAGGGAAGATGCACTGTCCCCAGCCAGGCAGGGCACTTCAACCTGGCTCCCCCAATCAGGTACAAGCAGGAGATCCTGAGGCTGAGAAAGCTGATGGATACAGGCAGCCCCTCCTCAAAAGTGGGGGCCAAGACCCAGCCCCCCAGGACCCACAGCCGCTAGTCTAAGGAAGATGGAATCGACCTCTCATGGCCAGCAGTGGAGCTGTCCCCCAGGAATGGCAAGCTGACTCCCCAGTAAAACAAAAGTCATGGCAGGGCTGGGTCTTTATTTTGTCTGGCAGCCAGCCTGAGAGGCAGGGACCCCAGAGTCCACCACGGTATGGATGGGGGCCCCCAGAGAGGAGGTCGCCTCACTGGCCAGCCCACCACAGTGGACATCATAGGCCCAGACTCGATCCACACCCTCACCCACCACAGCCACAGGCTCCCAGGTGGGGAGGGGGAAGCGCCCAGACACCACACGGGCCCCCTCGGGCAGCTCCGCCAGCAGCTTGGCCTCCAACTTGGGGAGCTGAGAGAGTAAAGAGTAGGAGGTATGGCCAGGGGAACCTGCAGCCTCCTGCCCGGTCCCACCAGGCCTAACCCCTGCCACTGACTGCCACCCAGACCTACCACGCTGGGAGCCAGGAACACAGACACATTGTAACAGTCCCTCAGGTTCACCTGTGGGAAGAGGAGGACACCACAGTAGGTACAGGGCATGGGGACACTGTGGCTTTTGAAGGCCCCGGAGCATGCATCCAGGTGGCAGGAAGCCAGGTGTGGGGTCTGAGGGTAGGGCACCCACACTTACCTTCCACAAGTCCTGGCGCAGGTAGCACACATTGCTGGCAAAGCCCGCCCTCCAGGCGTGCAGCCTCGCCAGCCCCACCAGCCACGGGTTCAGCTCATAGCCCAAGGTCGGGCGAAGGCCACACCTGTGAGCTGCCAACACCTGTGGGCAGGGAATAGGCCTGAGGACCAAAAGGGGGCAGTGAGGAAGGGCAGCTCCCCACCCTCTCCACCCCCCATACAACCCTTACAATCCTCCCGTCACCGGAGCCCAGATCCACGGTCTTTCCTGAACGGCCTCGTAGCAACGACAGCACATTCTCCACCTGCCGAGCGCTGGCTCCCACATAAGGCACCTGAATGAGGGGACGGGCTGGCAGGGCTGGCGCGGGCCACGCCCACTGACCCTAGACGGTATCACCCTAGAGTATTCGTGCTCACCTGGACCCCGCTGACTTGCAGCCCCGCCCAAGGCAGCTTTGGCTCCACCCCGAGGCAGCTTTAGCCCTAGTCCAGGTTCAGCCCCGCCCCACGTTCGGCTCCGCCCTTCGCTCCGCCCACACCTGCAACCGCAGCGGTACTCGGCGGAAGCCAGGCTGTAGCAGCAGGGCCCACACGGCGTAGGCAGCCAGGCCCGAGCCTGCCGCCACCTGCAGGAGCTCCAGTGCGTCCAGTCGCCGCTCTCGAAGTTCCGTCAGCGCTTCGGCCGGATCATCCTGCTCCATAACTTCGGGACACGCGACTCAGTGTCTCCCCGGCTCGGAGCCGAGCTTCTCACGCCCAGACCCGGGAACGGGAAGCGGCCACCCTCTCCCCAGCCTCGGCTCCCGGTTAGGGTTAGGCAGCGCCTGGAAGGCCGGAAATGCGGAGCGGGACTCGCGAAGGTGATACCGGAAGTGACCTAGCCGTTCCGTTGCAGGCTCCTCCCTGCTCGGACCCAGAGCGCTTTCTGTGAGTTCTGGGTACCGACAGTGTCAACCTGCGCCCAGGATCATGGCAGTCTGAGTGCGCGATGACTTTCGCAGGGTCTGGCCCCTCGAGCCCTAGTGCGAAGCCCACGATGATCCGGGTCTCGGTTATTTTGGTCATGCCCTGGACGCGATCCTTAGTAGCACAGTGGTTAAAGAGCTTGGCTGCTAACCCATCAGACGTTCCGTAGGAGATAGATGTGGCCGTGTTTCCCTAAAGATTTACAGCCTCGGAAACCCATTAAGGCAGTTCTACACTGTTCTATAGGGTCTTTGAGTCGGAACCAACTCGATGGCAGTGGGTTTGGGGGATTCTAGGTGCTGGGAATCCCTGGAAGCACCTATCATGACCGTGGGAAGACGGGAGTCAATAGGGACCGTCTCAGAGGGTTGAACACGCAACGGAAACGTGGGGCTGCGACTGAGTGCCCTGACGGGGATGGGAGACCAGAGAGGGGCGGGGAACTGTCCCAGAAAATACGGTTCCTGCGGAGGCTGGCGACGTCGGAATCCCAGGATGGGAGGCTAGAGCGCGGCTGGAGCACTGATGAGAGGGAGGCTCGCTGCACTTCCGGAGCCTTGGGCTAAAACCAGACAACCACTGGACACCAGAAAGGACCCCCTCAGTCCCTCCCACAGATGGAGACAATTAGCTGTGCAGGCGGGAAATTGGAGAAGGGCTGGGTCTGAGCCAGGGGGCGGTTCCGGCGGAGAGCGGGCTATTGAGGGAGTGTGGGGGGTGGGGAGCCGGATATGAGGGGCCTGGGCCTCTGGCTGCTAGCCCAGCTTGTGGGTGTGAGTCGAAGTCCTAGGAACTGGAGAGACCCCTTCCGTCTCCAGAGAATGTCAAAAAAGACAGGCATTTCTGGTCGGAAGCTAGAAGCAGCCTGGGGGTGGGGGACTCAAGTGGGACCAGAGAGTCTCCTCAGGTTGATGAGCCAAGACCAAGACCGCCTCACCTCACCTTGAGGCCAGACCCCCATGAATGGCCGTGCTCGTCTGGCCTGCCCCTTGTCAGCCAGACTCAGGCTACTTTACAGCTCACGTGTGGCAGGGAAGCCCTGGTAAGCTTTCAAGAGCAGAACACTGGAAAGGAGGAGGTCTGACTCCCTAAGACAGGGTAGGCCTGAGCCTGCGTTAGGGGGTCTTCCATAACACCCATTCTTCTCATTCCTTACATTGTCCCCACTGTCCAGAGCAGTGGCTGGTGCATAGAAGGTCCTGAATGGAGCGTGCACCCCACACTTCATCTGCACACTGGCACCCCCTCTGACTGCTCACCTGACTTTGCACATAGCTGCAGGTGTGGACCCTGGGTCTCCCACACCCTGGCCACTTCCCCATCAAGTGTGTCTCCTGGCCCAGGAGCTGTCCTTCCAGTCCTGTGTCCCTTCAGAAAAGGACTGAGAGCAGAGGAAGCTGGCTCAGAGAGTGTGTGTGAGTGAGATTCAGGCACAGCCTGGGGCAGCTGGGGAGAGGCCCACAGGACCTAGCCTAGAGCAGCTGCCCACTGTGTTTGCGGACAGGTGAACTGGAAAGGTGTCCAGTCCAGGGCAGATGGGTGTGGCAAGACTTCTTCCTCCAGAGGCTTGGGGGCTGGCTACGGAAAGCCGGACTGAGGACCAAGGGTGGATACCACTCAACATGGAGTGTGAGCCCGCCTGGGGGGGGGAGGGCACTGGACACAGGGAAAAACCCTCGAGACAGAGGTGGGGTGGGGAAGCAGCACTCCCCTCTGATCTTTGCAAAGATGAGATGTGTGGAGGGGAGGGGAGTGACAAGACCCTCAGCATTTACAGTCATGAGACTGGTCCAGTTCCCCAGGGAGGGAATGTGGATGCAGAGAGAAGGTACAGAAAGAAGAGAGGAAGCCGAACTCAGGGGGAGGGGGGAGGCCCAAGAGAGCAGCTCATCCAGGAGCATAAAGGGTAGGCTGAGAAATGTGCAGCCTTCAGACACCCCCTGCATGGAGGGCTGTTTGCTGACCTGGTGGTGGGGACCCTGTGCAGGAGCTGAGGGGCCTCCTTCCCAGGAGCTGTGGGCTGGGGTCCCACCCTGTGGCCTTTGTGAGCTCAAGTCCTCATCCAGTGAAGCCCTTTGTGCTAGACGCCAGGAGCGGGGAGGCATCACAATGAGCGAGTGGCGGGAAACAGCCCTGAGAGACACTACTGGAAGCAGCCAACAGCAGCCAACCTGACCCCGTGGGCCCCATGGGTCCATTCTTCCCGAGGGCAGGACAGCCACTGGAGGGGGAGGGTTGACCCCTGCTAGCTGCAAGCCCTCCCTGCCCCCCATAATCTGTCCCAATTCTTTACCCACTCCTGCCCTGAGCCCCGGAAGCACCTGAGAATTAAGGGAATGGATGTAGCCCCTCCAACTTTACTAACTGGGCAGCCGCCAGCCTCCTCCTCTGTGAAGTGGGACATAGCAGCCCAGGGCAGAAGGATTGACATGGGATCAGTCAAGGACAGGCTTCATGGACACAAAGACTTGACCAAAGTGGGCTAACGTATTCGCTGTTCTTATTGGTTATCATTATGACCTCAAAAGCACATCTAGAGGTTTCCTCATAACCCACCCTCCCAACAGCCCTGCCCCCAACACCCTGTCCTGTGGGAAGGGATCCCCCAAGTGGTGGTCACTCCTGGTCTCCCTCAGTCTAGCACCACCTCGCAGGGAAGGAGGTGGGCAACTTGAGCTGCTGAGTAGACACGGGCAAACTCCTGGATGCGGGGGGCACAGCCCATCCAGGCCTCGCCAAACCGGTGCCAACCCATGAAGAGGAAGGTGCCAGGGCCTGGGCGCACGCCGCAGTGAAGTGGGGTGCGGATGAAGACCTGCACCTGGCCCTCTGTGTCCCCTGCCTTGAGCAAGGGCAGTGTGTGTCGGAGGACACGGGCAGCTGTCACTTGGATGACAGACTCCTGCAAGTCCAGGTCATGGGTGACCTCGTGGATGGTTCCCTGGATCACTATGAGAGACACAAAGTCAGTGGTAGGCACGGGGGGGGGGGGGGCTGTTTGGTTTTTATAGGAAGGGGGGGGGGGGGGGGCCCAAGGCAGACCTGGGCTCCCCTGTCATTAGGGCACTCACCAAAATCGCTGGTGCAAGAGGTTAGGAGAAGCTCCTCATCACTGCAAGGCCTGCAGACACCTGGGAATTCCGGGCCATGAGCCTAACCCAGCCGTCCCAGACCCCGAGCAACCAGATCCCAGAGTGTGGGAGGGAGACCCAGGGCACACATGTGTACACACCCTGAAGCCACACCTCCACTGGGGAGCACTTCAGCACATCATCTTGCATACCCAGTCCTCTGTGACCTTTAGAACCAGCCAGGCTTGGGCTAACTATCGACTAGGGCAGACCCTATGGCTGGCCTGCATTCAGAGGGCAGAATAGAGATGCCCCCTTCCCCTGTGAGGTCAGACTGCAAACTCCAGAAGAGCAAAGAGCTGGGCCTGAAGCCCCATGGGGAGGCGGCGGGAGAGATCTCCATGGCAACGAGGCAGCACACTGGACTTTTGTTGCTCTGCTGGGGGAGGGGAGGGAGGTCATGGCTGGGCTGGGAGCCCTGGGCAGCTCTGGCCAGAAACTTCCATTCTGCCCCCAGCATCCCTTCCCCCACCCAGACTCAACCCTTCAGGCACAGGGGCCAGAGGCTGCCTGCGTGGCCACCCCCCATTCTGCCACCAGCTCCGTCCCTAAAATGGATTAGGAAAAGAGGCATCCCAGTCGAACACCCCTTCTTCACTGGAATCTCACTGGTTAGCTGTGTGATCTTTGACAAGCACTTTACCCTGGGGCCTCAATTTCTCCATCTGAGGAGTGAGTTCCAGGCAGGCGCAATGTCACCGAATGAGTTTTCATTAGCCCACCCAGGTGGCCACTCACCATTCACACTGAGGCCTTGAGTCTGGGGTAGCAACTCGGGACGCCTGTCTTCACGCAGCTCGAAGCGGAAAGCGGCCACACGACGACTGATGTCGCGATGCAGCGTGGCTTGCAGGAAGAGGGCTCGGTGCTCGCCGGGACCCCAGCGCACGCAGCGGCCGCCCGCCGGGCCTGGACCCTCGGCTAGCAGCAGCTCCAGGGCGCCTCCCGCATGTTCCGCAAAGACCTGGGCACCTGCGAAGTGTCGCGCCGGCCGCAGACAGGCGACACCGGGCCGCGCGCCAGCATCAGGACGGCCCAGGGTCAGGCGTAGTGCCCCGGCCGGGTACAGCCACTCTACCGTTCCCTCCGCACAGCTTAGGGTCAGCTGCCCGACACTGCCGGGTTCCTGGGTCAGGCCGCTGGGGATAGGACCGGCGGCGCTGAGTCGGCCGCCCGTTGTCCTCCCCCAGCCCAACTGCCCACCCCACCTTCCGCAGCCATCAACAGCCTCTCCACTTGGTGGACGAGAAAACTGAGGCCCGGCATTTGTTAGACGCCAGGGGAGGACAGGGATTCAGTGCCGGCCAGAGAGCACCCCCATCCCAAAGAGTGGGCGCCGCCCAGTCCCTCCAAAGGGGGAGCCCCAGTCTGACGCGCGCGCGGGCTTCCTCGCTGGTCGTTACCTCCCCCTCCAGCTGCAGCGGTCGCCCGAGTAGCCGGCGCGCGCGGCCGCTGCCAGGAGGGCGCCTAAGAGCGCGCCGAGCACTGCGGAGAGTGGCATGGCGCGTGGGAACCGACCGAGGTCTCGGGAGCCGGCCAGAGGGGACTGGGACGGGCGGCGGCGGAGCACCCGGGGCGCCGGCCGCCCACCCGGGCGCAGCCCCACCGCCCGCCGCCGCTTCCCGACCGGCTCAGTTGCCTCCAACAACCTCGTAGAGCTTAGGGGTGGGGGGCGGGCCGGCAGCGAGTAACCAATCGCAGCGCGGTCCCGTAACTTTCCGCCAATCGCAGCGGCTCTAGGGGGCGGGGCCCACAGCTGGGATTGGGGGGGACGCGCGCCCTCCGGTCCTGGGTCTCCCTGCGGCCCTTCTCCACCCCCACGCCCCGCCTGGCCATCCGCGCCTTACTAGTCAGGCCCCTAGGAAGAGGGGCGGGAAGTCTGCTGTGGCTGCCGCGCGCTCACATCCTGGGAGATGGGCCGCAGAGCAGCGCTCAAACTGAGGTCCAAGTTCTAACCCAGGCCCCTAAGAGCCCGTCTCCCGGGTGGAAGACACTGTGGAAAGGGAAGCTGAGCAGGCTTAGAGCACACACCGTCTTCTCCTCAGGCCTTCGCGGCAACCGCATGTTTGTGGAAGGAATCAGACAACGAACTGTATGTGACTTTCCTGGAGGAGGTTGAAGGGCGGGACGACGACCCCCCTGAAGGAGCCAGAAAAACACTGAGCTACAGAATCATCTCACAATGTCTGGACAAGCTGAACGTGGGCGGGATCTCAAAGACCAGGAACTGCTCCGGAGTTAGGGTGAAGAGCCAGGGGACTGGTGGGAGATTTCCCCAACACAAGACCTCCAAACTCTGCCTGAGGCTGGGCAGTCGCTGGACACATGGCGAAGCAACAGAGGAAAGGGAGACAGGTTTGGATGGGGCTCCTGACTGCTGGGTGACTGCAGGGGAGGGGCCATAGGTCATAGATCATAGCACAAAAGGTTTTACACAAGGAGTAGGGATCCACACAAGGAGCCCTAGATCAAGTGCCCCCCATCACCTCCCCATCACCACTGCCTCTTTGTCAGGCCTGACCTTCCAGCCCGTCATCTCCCCTAGGCTTGAATCACATGACAGAGGTCAGAAGGCACCAAGGTTATAGAGGGCCTGGACCCAATGCCAGCCCTGCCCCTGGCCCAGAGCCTCCCAAGCCAAAAGGGAGCCCCTTGCCCCAGACGATGTAGGACCAGAGGGGTAGACTAGACTTATAGAGTATAGAAGTCGCAAACCCTTATACCAAAACTGAATCAAAGAGCGGGCTCTGGGCGCCCTCTGGTGGCACTGTGGAGATTCAGCATCCCAGCTCTGGCCAGATTGTTAAATCCCACCTTCATCTCGCCTCCTGCAGCATGGACCAACGATGCCCATAGTCCCAAGTGACCAGATGTCTGCTGAGCTAGAGCCAAGAGTAAGCTACCTCCTGGTGTTTCGTGGCCCCTCCTCCCTGTACTCTGGTGAGAACTAACACCACACCCAGCATGGCATCAGATCATGGCATTTCCCATAAACTGATTGGCTGCTTTGCCTGGAACCCTCCATGGACCAAGCTCACACATGCATCTGTACTGGGCCTGTGCTAAGATCTGGACCACAGTCACAGAGGGACAAGAATGTCCTTACCCCATGATGTTTGCAGTTTGATGGAGATACAACAGTCCCAACAATAATGAGAGCTAATAATCACGGGCCTACCCCAGGCCTTCCTCTGAGCTTCAGTCCTCACAAACATGTGAGCCATACATACCTGTGAACTCTACATGTACATGCACGTGTGCACACACCCATCTATGGTGCCCATGTGTGTGCACACCAAATGACATGCATGTACAGCATACGTGCAGCCTTGCACCAAGGAGATACCCCGGACCACCAGTGACAGGAAGATGACCCTAGGAGGTGACCTGTGAGCCGAGACTGAGGGGTGGGATGGAAGGAGTGAGCTGTGGACAAAAAGGACACGCAAAAGGACCGTCTGCCTCGCCTCCAGGCAGACCACGCCCCTGGGAAGCCCCCAGAAGCCCCGGGTCTGTGGTTTGGTATGGAGATGGGGTCAGGGGCCCCTGAGATCCTGGCTTGGACCCTCCTATGGCCTGGATGAGCCAGTCAGCTCAAGAGTAGGTGGGGAGGCACGTGGACAAAGACTCATGGGGAGGGAGGTACAGCTGCCCCTCTGTGACTTTGTCTTGCTCTGTGCCCTTGGATTCTGCCCTCATGTCCTCTCTCTTGCTGTCCTTTCCTATGTCTGTGAGTTGAATTGTCACCCTAAAGGACACACTGATGTCCTAACCCCTGTACAGGGCTTTCGAAGATATAGTTCTGTTCCAATAAGACCATACTGGAGTAGTGTAGACCCTATTCCTATGTGACTAATGTTCCTATAGGAAGAGAGAACAGACGGAGGAGGGCAGGCATATGATGATGGAGACAGGATGTGACCATAAGGAAGACACGAGAAAGACTGTTCCCCTAGAACCTGCAGAAGTAAATGGCCCGGGGACACCTAGGACTCAGAGCCCTATCCCCAGCACAGTGAGAGAATAAATACATTTCTGTTGTCTGTGGTCCTTTAAGCCAGCAGCCCCAAGAAACTCGGACATGGTGTCTGGGTGGTGGAGAAGCAGGACCACAGCACTAAGAGCAGAAAGTCCTTTCGGGGTGACCTTGGTGACCTAGTTTCTTTTTCCAGTATCCTGAGGGGCTTTGGAGGAGCAGTCTGGTGGTGGCTGTGGGGAAGGCCACTGATCACCTCCGTCAATGTCACCCAAATCATAAATCCTAGGGTGCTGATGTGGGCTGATGCAGGGACATTCCTAAGGGAGGACAACCGCCCATGAAGGAGCTGCCCTGCTGTGAGCTGACCTGAGCAGCACCATGGACCATAGGGTACAGGGACCGGGCCAAGAAAGCTCACAGCACTGGGGACCAAGGCAGGGGCTAGGCTGGCTGGGAACGCTCTACTGGGGCAATACGAGAGGTGGGCAGGAGATGACTAGCAACGAAGGGTAATAAGAGCGTCCCAGGCTGGAGAAGCAGGTGGGCAAAGACTAGGAAGATGTTGGGGCTTAGAGAAAACCAGGAGCTGCAAAACATGGTGGGAAAAACATGAGCAGGAATGGTCCTCAGCAGGCTCATCAGTACTGAGAAGAGCTTGGGCATAGCCCCCTGGTGACAGGGAACAGGGACCCCCCCCCCAAAAAAAAAAAAATGGAGAGACAAGAGACAACCAAGCCCCCATCTGGATCTTGAATTTCACCAACCCTGGGAAGAAGGAGAGATGAGGGCCGATGCTTCCTGAGTCCCCAGCTGAGCCTTGGCCCCCCCTTGCTTCCAGAACTGCTAAATGTGCCCTCATGTAGGGCTGAAACAGAGAAGACAGTCCTCACTCCAAGGGGCAAGTCCCTGGCCCCCAGTATTACGTGCTGACTGTATCCATGCTAAACACAGGTCTGGATCGTCCATCCGGCAGAACCAAAATTGTTCAGAATGCTTCCATGTCCAGCCATCAGACAGGACCTCCCCCAGACTCATCACTGTCAACACCTCCAAACCTTACTCACACTCACTGGCACCCCTGCCAAGCAGGTCTGGCCTTGCCTTGGGACCCCAGAAAGCTGTTTCTTGCTGAGGATGTTTTTCTCCCTTTGAGGAGAAATCACCCCCCACACACACCTCGCCTCTTCTCAAGAAGCTGAAAATGCAGCTGCCGATTGATTTGCAGAGGAGCTAAAAATAACCGCCAGCCTCCAGCCAGGGCCGGGAAAAGATCCCATCGCTAGGAGAGACCGTTACCCGGAGACCGCCATTGCTAGGCGACGCGAGTTGCCTTGGTGACAACCCGGGCCCTGAGTCATCCTTAGCTTAGGCTGCCTTTGACAAGGGGGTAGGCGAGGTCCCTGTGTCTCCTCTACCCTGGGCAGTTGGGACTAGGGGTCCTAGGAGGATGAATGCATAAGAAGCAGAGGCTGGGAGGGCTAGAGACCCATCCCGTCCCCACCACGGCCACCCTGGCCACGAGATGCCCACACTTATGGGCACCCCACGCTAGCTGGGAGATGTTGAAGCCTACTTAACACACCTGGCCTTTCTGACCTCCACAAGTCTCTCCCAGGCCCTCTGTTCCTGGGGATGGAGTGGAGGGATACAGTATCCATCTGGCCCTAGTGGCTTTGGAGTAGGAATGGTCACTTGACTAGGCACTGAGGGGCTTTCACCCCTCATACTGGGCTGAGATTCTCAGAACCCCAAGCTTACTTCACAGGCAGGGCTCAGCCAGAAGTAGGATAGGCTTTTCCTTAAGGAGGGAGGATGTGGGCTGAGGCCTGTGGCTCCAGAGCCCGTGACCACCTGTGGCCAAGGCACAGGAACGTTTCAGAGTAACCCTAACCCTAACCCTAACCCTGGCCCTAGGCCACACATCCATGTTTCCACTGTCATGGCTGCCCTACCCAGAGAATGGCTCCTTCCCTCATGGCCCTCCCATCCCCAGGGATAAGGGCCTGCTAGCAGCCCCCAAGACCCAGGTCTGGGGACCCAGCTCCAGGTGAGGGGTCCCCTAGATGGGACATGCTCAGGGTGGGATATGCTATAAATGAAATGTGAGCCAGGCAAGACCCTGGAAGAAGATTGGAGTGTCTGGAACTCAGGCTGCAAGGGCCCAGATCTAGGCTGAGGCACTCAGGGCTTCCCAGGCTCCAGGCTGTAGTGAAAAGGAGACAAAGCCCAGAAGGACATTTCCCCCATGCTCCATAAAAGACCTCGCGCCCCTGCACCATGGGGGAAATGTGGGGAAAGGAGCAGGCAATGAGGGAGAGTGACAGAGGTGGGAACAAGTGGCAGCTCCCTCAGGCAAAACAGACAGGATGTGGAAGGGTAAGTCTCCTAAGCCTTCCCTCAAGGTAGAGCCTGCCTTTGCTCTGCTTCCTCAGAGGCAGGTTGCCTTCAGGGATCCCTTCTGGGCCCTTTGCCTTTAGGGCGTGTCCAGCCCAGCCCCAGGCCTAGGGCTCAGTCCAGGAGGG